CCGAAACTGAGAACTAACGGAACAATTAACGAATGACATCCTCCTCTTCTTTTGGGCACAATTTCGGATGCTCCTCTTGGTCATCACCTCACGTCAGTCATCACAACCTTGTTGGTGCTGGAAGGAAGCACCTGCGTGCCAAGCATGCTAGTCATCGAATTCGAAAGGTCACTGATTCCTCCTGACAATTCACCCGGATGTGCAATTTCTTTCTGTATGAGGCCTGAGTTTGGAGATGGGGAAGTGTGTTGGATTAAAACCAAAGTCGCGTAATAAAAGAGTGAAATCGATAATGCCTTTAAAGTGGCTATGTTTCGCCTCTGTCCGTTCTTGCCACTTTGTTTCCACCCCAGAGCTGGTCAAACATGTCTGATGTCTGGGTTTCATCCAGTCATCAGGTAAGTTTCATTGCCAGTCTCATTGGTAATATTCTTGTGCAGGTACAGTGGACGACTTGATGATAACTTTTTGCAGATGATTCACGGCTGTTGGTTTAGTTATTAGCAGTTTTCCTGCAGAATGAGGGCTTGCAGCAGTCGTGATAGGCAGGTGCCAGTCCCAGCCCTTCCATGTAGAGTTGCTAAGGCTACCTCCATCTGTATTATGTCAACTTTTCTGCCTCGCTAAGGTTTGCTACCCAGCAGTGGGAAAGGGGATGATCGGCCTTTAAGATGGGGTCGGTTTGGTGCTGCTGCAAAGGCAAAAGAAGACAGAACGCTCGAGCAGAATGCGTATGCATTCGACATGTAGAGAGGATTGGGACTAGTTCACTTGTTTGTAAAACCGACAGTGACACTACCAGTTGAGGTATTGAGCACAAAGTCCTAGCATTGTAATCGTGGTGGCGGTGGTGGTATTGAAATGTGTTCACATTTATTTTCCGTTTTAGTTTGCACACTTCATCCAAGTTGGACAACAAAATCAAGTCCGAAGTCGTGGTTGACATGCTTAATCTCGCTGGTTTTCGCTTGCCACCGAGATTGGCGAAGGAGGAGACCAAACGCGGACCGAGCTCACCGAAGAAGTTGCACGAAAAGGCGGCTGAGGGGCATGTCAGTGACGACTTGGCTGATCGTTCCAGTTTGCTGGAACATGACTACAATCGGTTGCCCATCCACAACCCCGAACAGCTGCGCTATAATCTTACGAATGCGGAGAAGAAGAAACACCGAGCATACGCTGCACGCTCGCAGTCTCCTCCGGTGTGTCTGTGTTCATTTGTTCCTTTGAATGCTGAATGGGACAGGACAGTGCGTTCGATTCACCAACTGACCGATAGTAACGTCACATCCACACCTTGCTAGATATGCATGGAATTTTGTTACTAACGCATACGTTCACATTCTGGCACTTGAAGGGCTTGTCAAACGATTTACATACGCACGCATTGGGAGCACAAAAAGTGGTAATTTGGAGTGTGATATGCAGGTGTGTGTGTGTGTAGATAAGATTTGTGGTAGAATGTGTTAGGCTCTACTTCACAACAGTGTTATGGTCCAAGTGAGAGTAGATGAACTTCATTATTGATTGCTAATTTGACGTTCATGCACCCTGCCATGTCGTCAATCGTGCGAGTAAACGGAGAAGATTATTTGCTGCCTAACCTGGAAGATGCATGGGGTAAGAAGTAGGCCTTTGAGACCAGAGAAGGGTTAGAGAACCAGTGGCTTAGACGACATGAGCATCAGTGTGCATGGCACAGTGTGCTACTAAAGTGAACCTCGTTTCGCTCCAACTCGTCTGGTAGGATATGAAGACCATATTGGATGCTCCTACAACAGACGATACGCTGATGTTAGTGACCACCATAAACGAGTGGTACCGGGCTTCCCTCGGTCGATTTGAACGAATCTATCCCCAGCATGGTTCACAGAGTGCAAGCATGATGAGTATGATCGACTCGGCCGGTGGCGACGGTCCTAGCATGTACTCGGGCCAACTCGGGACGCCGCGCTATTATGATGCTCTTTTGTACCAGTTCGTCCAACGCTTCGGCACTCCCCTTGTTGAAGGAGCCCCCACTGTTTTCGAGTCTGAGGAAGGCGTCAAAGAAGCATCAGCTAGAAGTCCCAGTAAGCAAGGCGGCCACAATTTTCGAGTGCTCTCGAAGGCATTGGGGATTTCAATCAAAGGACTCCTTTTTGTCACCAAACTTGCTGAACAGTGAGTTATCGTGCTACTGGCAAATGTACATTCTGTATTTTTCAATAGTTAAAAGTTTGCATTTGGATCAGTGGCACTTTTGAAATACACCCCCATCCAATGTGAATCCACCATTGATGGGTTACTAGAGTACCGACCGCCACTTGGAATTGCCGTCTGAGTGACATTCTTTGGCTGGTGAGTGAATGAATTTGGTCGTATTCTAGGTACTCCATTTTATAGACCTCAGTAGGCAAAATAATACGGACTCTGTACACTTCGATAGGAGCACCCTTAAAATGCATCCACCTTAAAGGCAAACTCATGCTTTAAATGACAAACCTATTAGGCAGTTCATGAGGCCAGTAACATTCAACTTTGGCTTCCTGCCTCTCTACACAAATGTCCACGTTCTGCAAAGGCAATCAACACCTCCATCTCAAAATAGGTGGAGCTTAGTCAGCATATCTTCCAGTTTCCATAATCTCAATGGTCAATGTTATTTTCGCATTTTAGACATATGCCGAGCATATCCTCGGCACTGGACACCTGTAGAACCTTGGAGATTGGTAAGAACAGAGGCTCGAAGGCTTCTCCTCTGCCACCGTCCCCTCCCATCAATGTCCCCAAAAGGGTAATGGAGCCCCATCAAACGTCTGCGCGATCTGTTGGACGACTGCCACGAGTCTCTGAGCTCCAGCCATCGACCCTGCCTAACATCCGACCCTCGTCCTTAAAAGGCCGTTGCATTAGTATCACTTGTCAGTCCGCCAGACAGTCGTGTCAGTGGTCATCGCAAGTGGCCACCACCTCGACGAGATCTCAAGCGGCCACGCGTTTGCTCGTCAAACCCAAGTCGCGGTTTTCGACAGAGTTTTAAAATGCAAAATAGATTGATAAGTTTAAGGTTGGAGAAATTGTACTGTACCGGTTGCGACGAATTGAGTTGGGAGCCAAATGTTATCAGAGCAATTTACTAATGTTTGTGAACGCGAAGGCTCATTCAAATAAAGACATTCATAACCATACACGCCTCATGTTTTGAACTTTGCAGCGCACACTGTAGTTGCTAATGTTCACCTCTCTTATTCCAGAAGTTTGTCATACCCGAAGCGACACTCCGGCTTTGCAAGTGCTAAGCAAGATACATATTCAATGCAAAGGAATAGAGACAAATTCTCTTGTAGGGAAGATGCACTCTCGTACCAGCCCAACCTTATTGGCTTTGCATAGACCCACAATTAAAACTCTTAATTGGTACACTTTTGTTGTTGGTCTCGAATATTCCCACACTCACTACTCCCTGCTTTTGACTTCAATAAACTATAACTTTTCAGCCAGTCAGCCTATTGCAATCCGCGCTCTTGATTGAACATCGCAACCTTTAATCACAGCAAGTAACCAAACATTTAAAGGGGACGTAGTGGATTAGAAAATAGCATCTGAATATTTTTGAAATTTATCGGAAAATAAGACACCACCCTGGCGATAGACCAGTCGCCTTCTTAATGCAGTACAGCTTCACTAATATATGTTTGCATTCTTTTTACCCTACTTCCCTGCTTTAATAAAAAAAGACTGTTTTGATCATTAAGACAGCACTACATTTATTGAAGAGCTGCCACGTAGCAAGCAAGCTGCGAAACCAGTCGGCGATCACTTTCAAGAACAGAGTACTGTTATTTAGCAAACAATTCTAAAGCATACAGCGATGGCTGAGCCCGTGTATTTAGGTGCTGTAGCAATGATTTAAGGTCAATTAAAGCAGCACACAAGGACGCAACGGTAACTACCTTTACTGACAGTAGCACTAGATGATGCTAAAGTACACAGCTTAATGCAGTCCTTATGCCGAGTCGAAAGTCGAAGCTCAGTATTCGAGATGCACCCTAAGCTGTCGATCGGCATCCTTTCTCGACAGGTGAGCATAGTACTCATAGAGATTGGGCTCACACCAGAGGTCACGAGGGTTGTGGTAGACGGGAGTGTCGTGCCAATGACCGACCTCCCAGCCGGGTACGTCCTTCATGAGCTCCGTTTCATAGTTACGATTTTTCACAAGTTGTTTGAGGTACATACGCTGCTGCTCCGCTACCAGAAATGGCGTCAGCGCCAATCGCACCTCCCGATTCTCATTATCACGGGCCTCTTTAAGCTCTTTTTTGTAGAGACGATACTTAATACCAGCGAAGGAGCAGACATACAAAGCTCCGATAATGTACAATCCTGTGGGAAAAAATAAGTTGTGTGAAAATTGATGCGCTTTATCAAAGTACTTACGATCGCGGCTTACGCACCATTAAGATGCTTCCTAACCCCCTTGTTGAAGACATTGAAAGGAGCAAATCCTCCAGGCGGAGGCATTTCCTGCTTGTATGCAACCATTACGACTTCAAAAGGGACGAAATGAACAAGCATAAGAACAACGGTGCATACTTATAAGTGGCCTCAACACAAAACGGGCAACCAATGACGGGCTAAACGCCCCTGATGCAAAATAGCCACACACGTGCGGAAAATAAGAGAATCCAGTTTACCACAATAGCACTATGATATACTTCAAAAGAACAGATGCAAGGCGGACACCGTGT